TTTTGGTTTCAAAAACTTGCTGCTTGTTATTTGCAGGCCTTGTGCTGATTCCTGGTCTTTTTGGGAAGTAAGATATTCAATGGGAGGAGAGACTAGCATTAAGAACATGAGGATCTTTAGTAGAGAAATCTGGCTTTAAAAGAATACAAGTTTTATAACTTTTAGGTTTATTTTCCATGTCCTTATACTTCCTCTCCAAAAAGAAAGGAGAGGAGAGGCAGCATAACGTAAATCTCCTCGTGGTTTCGTAATTATGGCCCTTGATTTCTTGAGGATGGTACTCACACATTTGGCCATTAATGTGAACGCTGCACCTTGATGGCTGGTTCATTTGCTTTTGCAGGAGGTCCATTACAATCAGCATGGTTTGTTGCTTTTGGAGGGACAGGGTATTTATCGCTTAGGTGATAGCTGGTAAGAGGTTTTATTATATGATTTCAGATGACATAAGAGCTTATGTCTTGCTATGGATACTATTTGACAATATGTGCTTATTTGGGAGCCAAGGAAGTTGTTGCTGCATTCCACTGATCTTATTAGATATAAGCTGGAAAAATGAGAGGCAATTGTGTTATGTTGATTTTTTCTTTGGTACTGGTGTTTGCATGCATGCTATATTGAGGCATCTTATCCAGTATCTCTGTCTTGATAGGTATCCAGTTCAAGCTGGTGATGTCATTTGGATGGCTCCTTTTGTGCCTCAGTGGTAAGGGAGGAAAGAAAAAAAACCTTTTTTTTTATCTATACTTTTAATTGTGAGACCTGAGGTTGTTTTTTAAATCTCAAATTAAGATCATTCAATGAATTTTCCTATAATGGTCAATGCAAATAATATTTCCCACACTCCACACATGTCAAAGGCACATGTAGTCTTTATTTACTACAAAAAATGGAGAGAAAAAAAAGAAACTAAGTTAACTAGGATAAAAGATTACACAGACATTGAAGATTCTCCATGTTATATCTTTATGAAACACAAACAAATCCATAAGGCACCCTGCAAACATGATAAATTCTGCCAGACAACTGTCCTCAACCTTGGTGCATTGATCTTACCCAATTTTTGTAAAAATGTTTGGCAGCTGGAAATGAAAATAACATTTGAAAAATGAAAGTAAAAATATGATGAGTTTGAAAATGCTAAAAAGCCACTTTACTATTTTTACATTTATTTTTAACTACCATAATTACGCATACGTATAATTTTTGTATAAAATGTGTGTAAAATGAAACTAGAGATAAATAAATTTTTGTGCTTGACACATCTAACTCCGATGAAGGTAACTCTGGCTTGACCCAATAATGATGCATTTTTCCGTGCTTTTAGGTATGGTGCTCTTGGTAAAAATCGCAGTCGCTATTTGCTTTACAAAGATGTCAATAGGAATCCAGTTTAAATCACCTGCAGCAAATGTATGATGAGAAGAAACATGGTGCAGGCTTCTTTCCCTTTGACCACTGCATTTACAGTATAACTGATGCAAGCAGTTGCATGGTAAATGCAACAATTAACTGTTACAGCAAAAAAAAACTGTGCATTGTTTGCTTTGTAGTAGCGTAAAATATCATGGATAAATTGAATGCTTCATGTTGGTAACGATGATTTCCCATTTGAAAATTCTACCAACTACTTTTCAATTTCTCTACTCGTGATAAAAAGTCTTTTACGAGCTTTTTCTCAAATTTGAAGTGCTAGAAGTTCTGAATTTATGGTGAAGACTTGGTCATTAATGAGGTGTAGCTATTGGCTTGTAGGTCAATTGTTAGTAAGCATGTTAATTATTAGTAACCGATTTGCTTCTAATTTCTAAGCTCTTTGGTTCAATTCTTCTCTTAATTGTTTAAGTATTACTTATGTGTTCCTTTTTGTGGACCTCTAATTCAGTCGTTTACAGTACTTTGTTCAATTTGAATTATTCCCACGCATCTATATTCTTTTTTCTCTGTGTCATTTTCTGTAATTGGTGCAAGTTGATCTTGGCACTCGTTGATGTTGTATCATATTTCGGTCAATAGCCTGTAAAAATTTCTCATGAACTTTTATTAAGCTATCAATGAAAATGTGGTACTAAATGAGTGTGTACTTGCACAAAATAATTTATTTTCTGCGAATGTGGTGCCCAAATTTTTCATGTTGCAGCTAGCAGTAATTTGGGTTTGCTAGGCCTGCATAAGTGCGCAGTTGTGAGGATTAGTTTCCTGCAACTCTGGAGATTAGGGAAATTATTCAGGATAAAAGATTAGTTGGAACCTCCATGTATAAGTTACATATATAATATATACATATATATATATATCACCATGAACGGAAATACTAAAACACTAACAAAAAATCCGTGAAGAAGTCTCACATTATGATGAGGTTGTAATCTCTGTATCTATTGACTTTTCTCGAACCTCCCTCTAGGTTGTAATCTCTGTTTCTATTGAGTTCTTTCCCTCCTTGTGTTTGTACTTGGTCTTTTTGTTGCTCTTCCTGTTTCACTTTTTTTTTTTTTTTTCATGTAGATCAGGTTTTTCTTCTTTCTTGCATGTATGTCGCTGTCCCTGTTGTTAATTTCCTTGCGACTGAGGTTGATTTCGCATAATGTCCTGGTCTTTCTCATTTTAACATGATAGTTGCCTTGTTAACCGGGGAATTTCCTTTCTCAGCGGGTACTTTGACAGTGCAAGAAGCAGAATGTTATGCATTCATTGCCAATGGGTGAACTTTGCTTACTGAGGGTACAACGTCTCGTAGGAGCTAACTGAGAAAATTTAGTGCTGAAACTCTGATGAACTGAATGAGTTCTATGAAAACCAAAGATGGGAATAGAAAGTAGAGATGGGAGGGAATGGAGAAATGACATTTTCCTTTTTTCTTTCTCATGCCAAAATTATCAGAAGTAAGTACTTGAATGGAACCGTGGGATTTCAGTTGTCAACTTCTGTTGTTATATGAGGTGCCAGGAGAAGAATAAACCTTCTGGGTTTGATTTTACCAAGCCTTTTTTTGGGTACACATTTATGATCTCCCCTTCAAAATTCATTATAATTTTGTATTGAAGATGGAGGCAGCAGAACTAAGAATTTTACTTAAAAATTTTATCTAATAAACTTTTGGGTATACTAAGTTATCACATAATTGGAAAATTTGATTGCACCAAATTTTACCGTAAATTTTTGGTATTTGATTAAAACTTAAACAGTGTCAAACTAATCTATGATTAAATTTTACATCTACATCATAATTACATTATTCTTGAAGTGACCAAGCACTTGAAAGAAAACACCTTGGAAGGTAATACTTATTGTTAGAATTTTTTTAAAGACGGAAGAAAATTTAAATTTTTGTTAACTTTACTTTATCAAAATTAATAATTTAAAATATTTTTAAATAAATTTATATTAAATTTAATTTTTTTAAAAATAATTTACAATTATTTAAGAGATAAATATAAATCATAAATTCTCATTAATAATATAATTTTTTAGAAATAAATACGTTTTAAATTTAATTAAAGATAAATTATATTTAAATTTAAAATAATAAATAAAATAAATTATAATATTTATATTAATGGTCAATATTTTTCCTTAATGTAGAAATTATAATCACTAAATTTATTTTATTGGAATACTTCTTTTCAATATTTATTATTTGATCTTCATATTTTGAAGCACTTCTTACTACTTTTCGATTATTGATGTACTTTTTATTAAAATATTTTAGAACACTTCTCTCTAAATTTTAAAAAAGAGTTTCTTCTTCTTCTTCTTCAATGAAATTTATTTGCTCATTCTACACCCTACAATTTTTTTATATATACCTAAATCTTTTACAATAAAAAAGTTGTGATTTACTTTTATGCTAACAATATTTTTTATCATAATTATTTTTCTTACATACTCCGCATTGTGAAAATTATTTTCTACTTGATATTGGTTAATACTTGTTTGACATGGTGGTGATAAAACTCCCTTCATGTTTTTTTTTCCTTCTTTTCCTCATTACTCTTCTTTCTATATTATTTTTTTCACATACTCATAACCAATAAAGATTATGATACAATTTATTGGGATTTTTTCAAGTGAAGAAGACTTAAATTTTCATTTACTTCATTTCACCCTCCAAAATTAACGACTTAAAATCTCTTTAAATATGCTTATATAAAATTTAAATTTTTAAAAATAATTTACTACTATTTAAAAAATAAATATGAATAAAATATCTTAAAAGATAAACTCCCACTAATAATATGATTTTTTAAAAATAAACATATTTTAAATCTAATTAAAAATAAATTTTATTTGAATTCAAACTAATAAATAAAATAAATTATAATTTCTACATTAATGTTCAACACTTTCCCTTAATATAAAAATTATAATTACCAAATTTATTTTGTTGGAGCACTTCTCTCCAATATTTTTTATTTGACCTTCATATTTTGAAATATTTCTTTTCAATTGTTGATGTACTTCTAACTAACATCTGATTATTGATACACTTCTCATCAATTTTCAATTATTTGATGCACTTTTTATTAAAACATTTTGAAGCACTTCTCTCTAAATTTTAAAAAAGAGTTTTTTTTTTCTTCTTCAACAATAGTTGTTTGTTCACTCTACAGCATGAAATTTTTTTGTATGTGCCCAATTTTTTTACAATAAAAATATTGTGATTTACTTTTATGTCAATAATCTTTTTCATTATGATTATTTTTCTTATATACTCCGTATGGTAGAAATTTTCTTCTCTTTAATGTTGATGAAGACTTGTTTGACATCGTGGCGATGAAAACTCCCTTCATGATTTTTTTTCTTCTTTTTCTCATTATTTTTCTCTCTATATTATTTTTTTACATACTCATACATAATCAATAAAAGTTCTGATACCATTTGTTGGAATTTTTTCAGGTAAAAAAAACTTAAATTTTTATTTACTTCACTTCACCATCTAAAATTAATAATTTAAAGTGTTTTTAAATAAATTTACATCAAATTCAAATTGTAAAAATAAACTAATAATATAATTTTTTAAAAATAAATATGTTTTAAATTTAAGTAAAAATAAATGCTATTTGAATTCAAACTAATAAATAAAATAAATTATAATTTCTACGTTAATTTTCAACACTTAGTTTAATAACTCTCTTCTTCTTTTTTTTCTATTTGATTTTTTTCTTAATTTTTAAAAAATACTGATAATTTTTTATTTATATTTGAACGAAATTAAAAATATAAATTCACCATATATATTTTACTATACTAGTTATATTAATCATTGATTATTAATATGAGATAGGCAAAAACATTTTCTCCATCATT